AAATGAGTTATTAATACAAAAAGAAAACGAAGAAAAGTCTTTAATTCGTAAAATTCAAACTTTTATGACAGAATCGCTCGGATTCTCTCCCCCTATGTTTCACGGTATGGATTCACTGAATGGAGTTTAACTCAATTCTTATATAAATTATTTTAACATTTGATTTGTTTATACGAGAGGTCGAGGAATCTTTCAGTATAACATAGGAATTCTTCCCTTTCGAAAGCCCATCACAACAGTTGGTATGAATTGTTTTCTGCAAATTATTGTCAAAACTTAACTAACAGTTGAAATAACTATATCTAACAATCAGTGGGAAAACCAATTGATGTAAAACAAGTGGACAATCCGTCGGATGAAGAGATCAATGAATTGCATAATAAATACATTAAAAGCTTAAAAGAATTGTTTGAAGAGAATAACGAAAAGTATGGAAACATAGATTTAAAGCTTATAATCAAATGAGATATGAAAACGAAAACAAGATTCCTATTAAAGGACAATGAATTGATCGTCAAAACTAACCTCATTTGACCCATTAGTGCACAATTAGTGCACAATTAGTACAAAATTAATTAATTATTAGAAACTCAAATCACATTTCATACATCTGTCAAACAATTTTCTACTCAACGATGTCTTTAAAAAGTTATTATAAATAATTAAAAGAATGTCGTAATTAATGAATGACTTAATACCGCATCAATTGCCGCATCACTCGATTCTGTAGTTATACAGAATCTGTATTCAGTAATTGTGTTACACTTTCATTACAGACCAATCAATTATATAATTCTTTAACAATTTAATTGTTAGCTAATTAATTGTCTATTTTATAAATTGCATTTAAAATGGCAATTTATATGTTGACATCTTAAATACCATTTAATAACTTTTTGATTCTTGAACTGAATATATTTTTGAAGAGTTGCAATTAAATGTATCAAGATAACTTTGGCCGGATATTCAAAAGTGATATAGCACATTCTGACGCATATACAGGTATATGATCTATGTAAGATCGAGATTAGGACCATTTTAAAATTTAAATTATGTTTTTAAAAAGTTTTAAGTTAATTAAGTTTACCAGTCATACTGTACCATACATGTACATGTATATAATATGAATATAAAGATTAATTGGTGAATAAGTGTAAATATAAATGTAAAATATATGACAGTTACTGTTATACAATAATTTATTGATTAGTTTTTGATAACGTTTATTATGAAAAATTCTGATCAAACATATGAAGCAATTTTAAGAAATATTCCAAATGACAAACAATTTAATATTTGGTTAATATTACGGAACCGACAGATAATTACTTAACAATTAAACAGAATTCACATTAAAAGTTTGATTAACTTTTTATTGGAAAATAAGTTGATTTGATTTATGGATGCATTTGAAAGAAAATGATCCGTAAGTTTGTATAAGAAATCTATGATTTAAAAAATCAATGTTAAAAGTCATAAAGTATTTTTAAAAAGTTGTAAAATATAAAATGATTTTAATTACTATAACTCTATTGTAATGTAATTTAATATAAAGATGTTTAGCAGTTACATGGTGTATCTACATTGTTCATTAATCAACAAAAAACGGATATAAAGTATAAAATAGTAATAAATTGACTGCAATTGTAAAACAAATTGTTTTCATTGACACTAAAATTGTTATAAAATGTGTGTGAAAACAGGATTTGAATGAAATAAGAAGCGATTAGTGATGATAAGAGAGATTGGGGTTTAATGCGGTAAATGAGGGTAACTGTTGGTCTTATTGCAGGGGTGCTGTGTTTGGGGTGTAGTGTTAGGTCTGTTCACAAATAGTGTGATAGTTGTGTGCCTTAAGGCCACACCCAAAGCATAGCCAAAGCACAGCCAAAGCATAGCGAGTGTACGACAAGTGAATGCAGTGTTTGCTGTGTTTGCAGTGTTTGTGTCGTATTGTGTACTGAAAGCCAATATTACAGTAAACATGAAATAGAGGTCTGCATTGGATTAGCTGTGGATCACATGTTTGTCTCACAACAAGTCCTCACCAAATAATCATCTCTTCTGATGACCAATGAGTGGACGCCAGCCGTCGGGTGAGTCACCGGTCAGTCATTTATTACTCATATTATGGATGAAAGTATGCGAAGAGTTGTGTAAGACTTGTGTGAATAGTGTTGACAATGTGTTGACCAATGATTGCATCCAAACTATCCATCACTTGACACCTCTTTGCCTGCCATTCATTGCCTGTGATTATAGTCTTGGGATCTGTTAATGTGATTGCCTTAACATAATAGCAGTTATTTCATGCAAACAGATGTGAAGGCATCTGAGGTTGAGATGAATGTTGTCTACTATTTGAATACCAATTGAATGAGAAGTCCATCAGAAGAGCCAATCATTCAATCACTGAATCACTTGACGAGTGATTTGTTTTAAAACAGAAGTTAGTATTGGTTTGAATTGATATGAATTGATTAGAAGTGTATTACTATTAGTGTTAATGTATTGTCAGATAACGTCTAATACAGTGGTAGTAGTGGTGAGAGAGGGAGAGGAAGGGAACCATAAGTAGATCTCTTGTGTTCACACTTTCCGTATTTGGGATCAAATGAAATAAACAATGGTTTGCGAAGAATGACATGAAATCGACAATAAGTTATAAATAATGGATTGTTTGGCGAATGTATGGCAATGTTATGGCATTTAAGGCATTTACGGCATAATATGATTGTCACACAATATATTGCAATAATTGTAATACTATTATACTATTAGTCTGTAGTTGTATTGGTATTAGAGTTAACAGAAATATTAGAGAGAATTGCATTTTTGTATGCATTTTATGGTATAATATAGAATAGCATAGAATTGAATGGGAACTCAAGGTTAGCTAAACTCAAACTCTATTATATTATACGATATCTGGTATTATTATAATCAGTCTATTAGTGACACTAACTCTCGTACGGCTGTGTATTGTGTTTAATATTCATATATTATTTGTAACATTAGTTTATATGATATATGCATTTATGTGCTCTCGAGTGCCAAACGAGTCCATAAAGCGCTTAATATTTGTGGCCAATTATACGAGTAATCGTAATATAAAGTGATTATAACATACACTACTCTAACAGTACTCTAACTATTACTTGTGTTTAATTCGTAAATAGGCTTTGAATTCAAAATAGAGACAACTATTGAGCAAAACTTTTTAAAACATTTTTCTGATGTATTTTTGGTGACAAGAGTTAGAGATTTTTGTTTTTGATTAAAATTGATAGCTTTTAGAGCTTTTGAGTTAAATTTAAGTAAAATAAGTCTTTGAGATATTTTTAAATGAAAAAGCAATGAGAAGTTTGTGGAGAAAAAAGAGCAAAAGTGTAAAAAAGTTTTTCACAGTTTGTTTTAAATAAACACAACTTTTATGTTACAAGAGTTTTATGAAATTGGTTGACATGATTGAGATTATGGCCCAATAATTGCTCAATGCTTTCAGTGACACAAGTGTTGGCTAAAGCAAAGGGAGACGACTGTTGGCGACGTCCGCCTCATTTCGTGCCTCAGTGTCTGAAGAGTGTCTCAAATCAATCCGATTGCCATATTGGCCACCATCTGACGCATGGGTGGTATCATTGATGGTCTAAACGCTTTCACTCCACTCTTTACTGTCACACCAATCCATCCAAGAGTTTGACGACAAGTGCCACACATCAGCACTGGGGGAGCACTGCATCATCTGTTGATCAAGTGATCGGTTATGGCAATGGTTAACAGTTTGGCCAACGTTAAGGACTCCCGTTGGCTACAACTCGAAGTGTGTCGCGAATATCAACGAAATAAGTGCACCCGACCTGACCAGGAGTGCAAGTTTGCACATCCGACCACTCATGTCGAAGTCCAAAATGGCAGAGTTATCGCATGCTATGACTCCATTAAGGTGACAACACTTTTACCATTGCAATATAACATTACATATTACAATATCAACATTATCATATAGTACTTTATATTATACTAATTCTTGACATAAAGCGATTGCTAGTAAATGTGTATAAAATTACACTGTATATTACAATGCATTGATTATAATCAGGGTCGTTGTAACCGAGAGAAGCCCCCGTGTAAGTACTTCCATCCGCCACAGCATCTTAAGGACCAGCTCTTGATCAACGGTCGCAACCATTTGGCTCTAAAGAATGCTTTACTCCAACAAATGCCTCTCCAGACCGTCCTTACGAGTCAAATACCAATGGTTAGTCCCTATCAATCATTTCCATTTAAATGTATTATAAGTTACCGTTATTTCTAATGTGTTTGTAATTGTTATCATTTTTTATATCAACTAAAAATGATTTAATTATTTATGAAATGTGTCGAGAGCACAGACCGCGTAATTCTCACACAAACACAATGTGTTTATACCGTATCTCTGGTGTAATACATATGGATTACAACTTAAATTTTCTTTTACATTTACGACAATGTTATACACATTAGATTTTATCATCAAATTTATAGATATGTGAATATATGGCATGCAATCGCCATATTAGTGATGACAACCATTTGTTGGTTTTAAAATCCATATTCACTCTCATATTATTTTTTTTAGTTTTATTTCCTTTACTAAAAACGCAAACAATTCAATATATGCTAAAAGTATTAATATTTTAAGGGTTTTTCTCAGACCCCTACAAACACCCCCCAAACCATAGACTTTGATATTCTGGTAAGGACCAGCTCTTGATCAACGGTCGCAACCATTTGGCTCTAAAGAATGCTTTACTCCAACAAATGCCTCTCCAGACCGTCCTTACGAGTCAAATACCAATGGTTAGTCCCTATCAATCATTTCCATTCAAATGTATTATAAGTTACCGTTATTTCTAATGTGTTTGTAATTGTTATCATTTTTTATATCAACTAAAAATGATTTAATTATTTATGATATGTGTTGAGAGCACAGACCGCGTAATTCTCACACAAACACAATGTGTTTATGCCGTATCTCTGGTGTAATACATATGGATTACAACTTAAATTTTCTTTTACATTTACGACAGTGTTATACACATTAGATTTTATCATCAAATTTATAGATATGTGAATATATGGCATGCAATCGCCATATTAGTGATGACAACCATTTGTTGGTTTTAAAATCCATATTCACTCTCATATTATTAAAAAAATCAAAATAAAGGAAATGATTTTTGCGTTTGTTAAGTTATATACGATTTTCATAATTATAAAATTCCCAAAAAGAGTCTGGGGATGTTTGTGGGGGGTTTGGTATCTGAAACTATAAGACCAATATTCTACAGAATTGAAACATTGGATAATATATACACTACGGCCCACACCCTAACACTTGGGATTTATGACATACTATTTCTTTATCAATAAAATACACGATTTCCTCCGTTTAGCAATCCTTTAGTCTTTTGGTTTAAACCAAAATTTGACGCATTTTGAACATTAATTCAATATACTGTTGAAATGAATCAACTTTTGTTATATAAGTTATAGTTATTTACATTTCATATTTGTTGGTTTAATGCTTAAGAGATTATTAAATAATTCAATGCCTCTGAATGTACGGTAAATAATGTAGAATATGACTGATGTGATTATGATATAGTATATAATACCTGTGCTATTGTCACACATGCGAACGAATGGCACGAATATAATAGAAGTGTTTGCAAATCTACAGTTATTTTTCAAATAAACAAATGTTAGCGAAATATTAAGTTATTAATGAAACATTTCGTTATATTGAATATATTCATAAATTTTATTTTTGTAAGCAGTCAATTGAGCATCCACAACAAACACAATATTTATATCTCTGCGGAATGCGACACGAGATACAGACCTCTTTTACATCAATTTCCCAAACATTTGAATCTCAAACCAAATTTAAGAGCAGAAGAGAGAGAATTTGTGTGCATAAGCCTTGTCTGACTCGTTAGCCAAAAGTAATTCATTCTCTCATACACTATATTCTCTCCTTATAAACATCCTCTCTCTCTCTCTCTCTCTCTCTCTCTCTCTCACACACACACACACACACAAACACACACACACACACCACTCATGATAATAAAGCATATTTTGATGTCTTTTTTATTTCAATACTTTTTATGGATTTTTTGAAATATTAAATTTTTGTCACTTTTGTTGATATTTAATACAATAGTCTACTTTTGTCTACTTTACCCAACAATTAAAATGTTTAATATCACAAGAATTATTAGTGTACTGTATATTCACGACAGTTTAATATGAATATAATTTAATATAGGAATTAATTGCTTATAATTTGTTAGTTGTAGTAAATACCACATAGTAGAAAGACTTGTACATAATTGTATTAAAAATTAATAATGATCATGTTTTGTCCCAATAAATCAAATGATGGTTTTAGTAACGTTACATTGGTACAATTTTATGCTTAGATCTAATTGAGAATGTTACTTTTAATTGGTAAAATATATCATGATGGTAATATATAGTATTGTATATAATATAGATAAGAATATACAATAAGGATGTTTTGGCTGACAGTTATTCCTATACAGTAATACCAATTAATGTTTGTGTGAAGGCATGTTTGCAGCAATGTTTGCTTTTATTAACTGATAGGTGGGACCGACTCCTACTAGTTTGTTGACGGCTGCATATAACCGCCCGCTGGCCCATCACATTGCTGGCCAACAACGGGCAGCGGCTGCAGTCGTGGCCACTGCTAGCCTTTTAAATGGTGCCGCCGGACACGCGTCCAATAATATCGCTAACTGTAAGGTAAGCAATGCTTCGCATCATTAACTAAAATAATGCTTTAAAAGGCGTTGAATCGCAAATGTCGAGCGATTGCATGACTAAACGGATCTGTCTGTCCGTCACTGCCATTGCCTGCGAGCGGCTCTCAAACACTTGAATCACTTGTTCAAAGCTTTGCGACTAAGCTTTCAGTCAAAATATGTATGAATGAGAGCACGTGTTGCCACTAAACGCTCCCTTATTCTTCTCCTCTCATGTGTGTCCTATCGTTGCCATCGTCTCAAAGTTATCGCATTTTCTGCTCAATTGAGTCTCAATATATCCTTTGTACGCCATCCTAATTGATTGTATTCATAACGGCTCTCTCTCTCTTCTGCTCTTAAATTTGGTTTGAGATTCAAATGTTTGGGAAATTGATGTAAAAGAGGAGACATAGAGCACAGCGT